CTATTCTATTGGTATTCTCCAATTGGTGAAACACTGTTTTCATACTTTATTATTGTAGACATAATTTTATTTAGTTATTAGAACATGTTTCATGAATGGTTTCTCTTGGTTGCTTTTATTCTTGGCTATAGGCCATACTTTGTTTCTTTGCAAGTTTTTTAAATTGTTCATATGTTGAAAGTTGAACACTGTAAATAATATAATGTGGCAAGACTAGGAATAAGATTTTCTTCTGTCCCCAAAATATGTTGTGGTTGCTATTTGGCATTATCATTGTTTAGGGACTTTATTGATTTTTTTTTCCTTAGTTTTACTGAGGTATGGCTGACAAATAGAAGTCATATGTAGTTAAGATGCACAAAGTTATGTTTTGATATATGTATGCCTAGTGAAATAATTACCACAATCAAACTGATTAACCTAATCATTAACCTCACAGAGTTGCCATGTGCGTGTGTGTATGTGTGGTGACATTTGAGGTCTCTTTTCTTAGCAAATTTCAAATATATAGTACATTACTATTAACTATATTCACTATGCTATACATTATATCTCCAGAATTTATTCATTTTATAACTAAAAGTGTGTACTCTTTGAATAATATCTCCTCTTTCCTCCACCCCCACCTGTCTCTGGTGATTGTCATTCCACACTCTATGTGTTTGATTCCATTTTTAATTTCATATGTAAGTTAGATCATGCAATATTTCTCTTTCTGTATCTGGTTTATTTCATTTAGCATTATTTATGTAAGGTTCATGCACATTATCTCAAATGCCAGCAATCTCTGGCCCAGTCTGCTTAAAACATGCTAGATATGAAAATATAATACATAAAATATGGATAAGACGAAATGATTAATAGTGACAAAATTATGTATTACCAAAATTGATTCATGAACAAATAAAAAAATCCAAATATACCAGCAATCATTGAAGGAATTAATTACAAATCAAGAACTTTTCTTAATGACTAAAACAACAGAAAGTTCCAAAATTCTAAAGGTGAGTTTAATAAAACTTTCAGGAAGGTAATCATCACTCTTATGCAAATTTTTAAAGAATATACAAAGACTGGGGCCATCCAGGTGGCATGGTGGTTAAGGGTGTTGGACTCCCACATGACTGACCATGGTTCGAGTTCTGGACTTGGTTGCTTGCTTTCTCACTTTCTCTCTCTCTCTGCCTCCCCACCTGGGTCAAGTTTAAATAAAGAAAAAGAAAGAAAGAAAGTTAATTAATTAATTCTCAAAAAAATTACAAAGACTAAACAAAACATACTATTGATATAAAGAGCAGATATTTAGAATCAGCAAATCTATATAGACAAAAAGATTAGTGGTTGCCCAAGTCCAAGGATGGCAGTGAGAATGAAGAGTGGCTGCCCCTGGATGTGGGTTTCTTTTGGGGGATGAAAGTGTTCTGATACTGGGTTGTAGTGATGGTTGCATGTCTCTGTGATTGTGCTAGTTCACTTTAAATGGGGGAATGTTGTATTGTCTGTATTATAATCTCAACAAAGCTGTTAAAAAGAAATGCTCAGATGAATACAAGAAAAAATATTCTTATTTATAAACATAAATAGGAAACCCTTAAGTTAAATATTAGCAGAAGTTAATTCAGTTTTTAATACTCTATTTAGATATGCTGATTTCAGTAATACAACAATTCTTCAATAACAGAACACTTACCAATACATTCATTCTTAACAAACAAAATAACAAAACCATAGGACCATTCCAATTAATTTTTTATTCAACGTACACTTACTGCTTGTCTATTATGTGTCAGAAACTACACAATAGTAAACAAGAGAAAAGTCCTAGTTCTCAATAGAAGCAGAAAAAGTATTTGATAAATTCTCACACAAATTCTTAGCAAAATATGATTAGAAAAGAACTCTTAATAAATTATTATTGAAAAATGGAGCAAACATCATCCTTATGCTGAAACATGAGAAGCTTTCTCACGGATCCCAATCAGAAGATGCTTGTGCTAGAGTTCCTGGCCACTGAAGTAACTTTTTAAAACGAGATATACAAAAACTGCATAGGAAAATGACAAAATTGATTTTTCTATGTCTAAAATGAAATAGTTAAAATGTAACTTAAAAATCTAGTAGTATCTAGAAACATACTATTAGAATGAAGAATATACTTCAACAAAACTAAGATCAATGTCAAAATACTACAGCATTCCTCTATACTAGAAATACAAGATAGTAAATGGAATTGAATTTTTAATTTGCGATATAAATAAAGATAGAAGGTGTCGTACCTTTATCAAAATAACTTTTACCATGCCAACAATAGCTCAGTCTTGGTAAATGAGAATGTTGATCATTCGCATAATTGCTACCTTGTCTGGCAACGGCCACACTGTGACTCTGAACCAGACCTAGGATGGTCAGGGAAACTACAGTTGGTATTTGTAGAGGAGACTATAATATTTATATAATTATTTCGAATGGCTTAGGGAGTGGGGTCCCTCTGGTGAGAATTCATTTAAAATAAATTTTCAGTTTCTTAGGCCATAACTTACACATTCAAAATTTATTTATTGTGCCACAAGCTTGTTTGAAACTTTCAATATCTTGAAAAGGTAGTGAAGGTGACAGAACGTGCCCTTTGAGAAAATGTTCTCTTTCAGTGTGTATTCTCTGCTATGGAGGAGGAATACAAGGTGAAGGAAAGTATAACAGCTTATAAACAAGTTCATAATTTATTTATAAGCTTATTTTTTAAAAGAATTATTTTGTTTCACTTTTATTTTAATTTTATCAGAGAGGAACAGAATGAGAGAGAGTGAGAGCAAGATGGAAAGTGAGAAAGCAAGCCACCAGGTCTGGGACCTGAACCACGGTAGGTCATGTGGGAGTCCAGTGCCCTTAACCACCATGCCACCTACTGACCCCTTATTTATAAGCTGTTAATAAGAGGCAATTTTACAAAAAAATAATAATTAAGTTTTGAACGTGATCATTTTAGTCCATAAGCCTCTCCCCTATATCCTTTTCATTATTCCTTTGTCTTTTTTTTTAATGCTTATTTATTCAGCTAGTTTATTTATTTTTTCCATTAGAGAGAGGGACAGAGATAGGTGCTCCCATCAGGGTCCTGATGCAACAATCCACTCCCAGCCTCAGCTGGCCCAAATCATGAACACATGTACACAGCATGCACAGGGAGGTACAGGGACATGAACACAGAACTATTCCCATCTGAGTCCAGTTGTGTTACTGCTATGCTACCACCTGGCCTCTCCTCCAATTGTTATTTTTCTTCTCACAAGCTAAGGGATCTTTGCTGAAATTCTGTTTGTTTCTTTTTGGAATTTGCCACAGGCTCTGTCCAGAGCTTGCTCTGCCATTGGCTCTCTCACATCCTGCCATTCTTACAGCATCATTGGGGCTGAGTGACAGAGCTCTTTGTCTGACAGTATCTATTTATCTAGAAGATTTGCCAAGGAATCCTCTTGTCATGGTCTTCTTACAGCTGGAGAAGGTTGGCCATTGGGTAAATGATTTGAAGAAGGAAAAACAAACATGTTATTTTTAATCTCTATTTTAAATATTCCAATTATCCATAGATATCTATACCAGCAATTTTATTTTGGTACCATTGTTGTCTTTTAGGTCCTTGCCAAATGACTGAATCTAATTTTGACTTCCTTAAGCAAAATAAAACAAAACAAACATAAAACATTTCATGAGAATTCGTGAACTGAGTCTGGGGTAGCTCAGAGCATCAAGGGGAAAAGTCAGTGTTCAAGGTGGTAAAGAAAACAATCTCTGGAGAAGAGCAGAGAGCGTAATGGCTATGTACTGGACTCCCACATAGCTGGCAACAATGGCTTGAAATTCATGCTGGGCACGTGTACATGTGTACCCAAGATCCCAAAAGGATAATGGAGGAGAAGGGATTGCAGTGTGGCCATCTCCCCTGGAGGGTGATTTCTTGCTTTCTGTCTCTCTTGGGCAAGGACACATGCCCTGTAGCAAAATCTCTAAAAGAAAAGAAAATGGTATTTGGCATAAATCCATTTTCCAAATTCCAATCCTATCACTTACCTCTCTGACTCAGTTTCCTCTTCTCTGACTTAGCAATAACTAAACTATTTATTTATTACATTTGTTGTGCTATTTATATCATATAATGTATAGAAATTACTGAGCAGGAAATAATATCCACTATACAATGTATAACAAATTAAATTTTTCTAAAAAAAAATTGCTAGGCAAGAGGTTTATCTTATCCATCCATCTTTTTCTAAGACTAAATTGGTATCATCCCAAGAAAATAACTTTCTACCTTTTAAGTTTTTTTTTTTTTTTTTGAGAGGTTTTCGCTACAGGGCACGTGCGCTTGCCAGACAGACAGAGACATAGAGACAGAAAGTGAGAAATCACCCCCCAGGGGGGATGGTCACGCCACAGTCCCTTCTTCTCCTCCATTTTCCTCTCGGGATCTTGGGCACACACGCACATGCACCCCGACATGAGTTTTAAGCCACTGGGTCCAGGACACGAACCGCGTTCGACTACATGGGAGTCCAGCGACATAGCCATTACGCTAACTGCTGGTTCCCTACCTTTTAAGTATTTTTAAGAAAAATCCTAAGAGATCCTGGCCTCAGAGAATTCTCCTTATCCAGGCATGACTTGGGGCCAGCAGTTAGCGTAATGGCTATATCGCTGAACTCTGATGTAGTCGACCGTGGTTCAAGTCCTGGACCCGGCAGCTTAAACTACGAGCGTGCCCAAGATCCCAAGAGGAGAATGGAGGAGAAGAGACTGTGGCGTGGTCATCCCCCCCCGGGGGGTGATTTCTCACTTTCTTCTCACTTCCTGTCTCTCTGTCTCTCTCTGTCTCTCTGGCGAACACAAGCGCCCTATAGCAAAAACCTCTCCAATAAATAAATAAATAAAAATCCAGGCATGACTTATTGCAGTTTAATCCAGCTTCCTTATCATTCTGATTTTGTAGTTCATTATTTAAAACATTAGAAATATTTCCTCAGCATTCTTCTCACAGCTGCCTTCACTTCCTTATTCTTCAGACTGTAGATGAGTGGATTCAGCATAGGAGTGATCACGCTGTACTGCAAGGAGAAAATTAACTCTTGAGTGGATCCTGAATTTGGCATGAGATAGCGAAGTAATCCTGAGCTATAAAAGAAGATCACTGCAGTGAGGTGGGAGGAGCAGGTGAGGAAAGCCTTGTTTCTGCCCGTGGTGGAGCTGATGCGCAGGATAGTAAATAAAATGCAAATATAGGAAAAAAATATCAGGAGAAAATTTCCAAAGAAATGCAAGAAACTGGAGCAGAGCATGGCAGTAATACTTGCAGACACATCAGAGCAAGAAAGGGGAAAGAGAGAGGGCAGTTCACAGCTGAAGTGGTAGATATTTTGAGCCTTGCAGAAGTCTAAATCGAGGGCTACAAGGATGTTGATGAGAGAATCCAGAAAACCCAGGCCCCAGGAGCCCCATACCAGCCCTACACACAGTTGTCTGTTCATCACCTGGCCATAGAGTAGGGGAGAGCTGATGGCCACATAGCGATCATAAGCCATCACCACAAGTAGGCAGGATTCAGTGCCCCCAGTGGCAAACACGAAGAAGGCCTGAGCCAGGCAGCCCTCTACTGAGATGGTTTTCTTCTCAGACAGGAGGTTCTCCAACATCTTGGGCACAATGACTGAAGAGTGACAGAGATCCAGGAAGGACAACTGTCCCAGAAAGAAGTACATGGGCGTGTGCAGGTGGGAATCAGCTCTGATCACCAGCAGCATCACCAGGTTCCCCACCATGGTCAGGAGGTAAATCCCCAGGAACAGCACAAAAAGCAGAGCCTGGATCTGAGGATCAGCAGACAGCCCGAGGAGGATGAACTCTGAGACAACAGTGTGGTTTCTCATTGTCTTCAGTATTTTCTTTGGAATATAAGAAATAAATCAGGTGAAGCCTCTTGTTACGTCTAACAAATACCCAAGTGTTTTGATCCTCTTTCCATCAGAAATTTTAATACCTACTCAAAAATTCATGCTCAGAAATGATAAGCTTCCTTCACTAAGTCTCTAGATTTCCTAAACCCAATGATAATCTTTCCTGTAGGACCCCACCATAGATCAACTCCTTATCAAATTTATTATTCAACTCCTTATTCAAATTTATTTATTGAATGTGTTAGAGTTTGTCATTGCTGTTTTATTACTAAGGCTCCTGGAGGATGTTTATAAACTATTGCTGGTAATCTGTAAGACCAGAAAGAACTCCAGGAGGACTGAGAAAATGGCAGAAATGGCGTCTCTGAGAGAGTGAGAGTGAGAGCTGTTGAGTGGCAGAGCAGAAGCTAGCATTCCTTGAGTGGGAATGGGTTTACTTTATCCATCAGCTAAGCCTGCGTATGGTAGATCTGGTGCTGGCCGGAAAGCAGTTCTTTTCCAGTGACGTTTTTCAGTAGATATTTAAGTGCTTCAGTAGTGGAAAGTGAATAGGGACAGTGCTTGGAGACTTGCCAAGTAAGGAGAAAAGGAAATAACCAGAGGGAAGGCAGTACAGATACACCGAGATGCTATGTAACTGATCAGAAGAGATTGTTGGCAAATAGGGAGACATATCATGATCATAGTATTCATACCCAGTTTAAACGTAATCCGTAGGCGATCTATTCAGATTCAGCTCTTGCCTATGCCTGCATGCCATTTGTAAACATAGGCTGCATACAGACTAACACTTGGTGGTTTTTTCCTTCTCTCAACTGACAACCCAGATTATGATCTTAGACTCAGGATAACACTTCAACACCGCTGATTACATCACCTTGACCTTTATGCTCTGCTCTTACCTCCTGAGTTCACACGGCAAGTTCAGCACATTCAATGTCTTAAAGCACTTGAGGTTTCTCTCCTACTGTATATCCAAACAATGCCCATCATTAATGCTTTTCTTAGGAATCAAGTCTCTACATTCTTTTATTTCTTGTCTAGTTTAGCAATAACTAGCAAAGAATGCAAGAAAACCTTTTTCTAATTTAGTGATTCAGAAATTTTTCTAATCCAGTGATCCGGACCAATGAGTTTGAATGTCAGTGTGAAAATTCGGTATCAAGGCAGAGTTTGAAAATTCTTGTTGGATTAAGAGCTCTTCTTTGCTTTCTAAAAGAGGAAAATAAAAGGCCAAGTTATATGTATTTTATCTAAAAACCTAAATACTTCCAATCATGTAAGGAGAGCATTTTCCATATAACTATTTTTTTTTCCTTTTACTCACCACTGGAACTCTAACTACAGTGACCCAGATTTGTTGAGAATATTACCTCATTTGCAGAAGGTGCTGGAAAAACAGGGACTCAAACAAACAAACAAAAAATGAAGATAGACAATCATACCATCCATTATGATTTCGGAGGGCAATGACAACAACAAAAAAAGAGCTCTCCTCCTTTTCTACTTATCTCCAAATGCAGCCCCACCCGCTAGCACTAGAAATTCCTAAAACTGGGTCATAGCTTAGAAAGGACATCTGCACAAAAGACAAACTTGGAAACTGTACCCTGTCATGGACCAGACTTCCTCACAGAAAGAAGTGTATTGTGTTCGTTTATTCAGGAGAACAGAAATCAAATCGATAGTTTTGTTTTTTGTTTAACTTGGTGCTGCAATTTCACTATTTTCTGTACTTTTTAAATTCAGGTTCTGAGTCTGTATTTAGGATGGAAACTGTTTTGAGAACGCTACAACTGTGTGTTCAGTTGTTACACTTAGGTGGAGTCAACTGACTGGCTTTTTTCCAAAGAGAGAGAAATGTTTTTTAGAATGAAACAAAAAATGCTTAGCATTGTCCCTGGTCCAAAGAAGTATCTCAAATATCTGGTGTTCTGTAATGATACACAGTGATGAAATTATAAAATTTTAAAAAATTAAAAATTAATTAAATAAATAAAGTAAAAAAAAAAAAAATTAAAATGGGCCAGCCTGGTGGCACAGTCTACATACAGCATACTGGACCGCAGTTCTGGAAGCCAAATGGCTGAAAGCAGTTCAGATACCCAGTTGACCTGAAATGAACTTGCTGGAGAGTGCTTGAAGTTCTGACAGGCTGCAGGACCAGATCATGTTAAGGGTTTCTCTCTCTTTCTCTCCCTCTCCTTCTCTCTCTTTCTCTTGAGTGCTCCCTACCACTGTCTCTACTGTGAATAAAAATGCAAATGAATGCATCGATGAGTGAGCAAGTTACAATGAATGAGACCAAGGAGAATAGTCTAGGGCTTTACAGACAACAGATCTGATTAGGAACCTATAAGGGATTTTAGACATCCCGGGTTTGCATTAAGTCAGATGTAACAAGAGTGATGGAGAAAAATGTCACTAGCTGCAGTGTCTCGGCCCTATTTTGAACTTCTGCATACATCAGAACTTTCTATGTTTGGAGCTCCGGGAGAGGGTTACTTTCGAGTCACAAGCGTCCCTAAGTTTATCTCTGATGTCCTCATCTCCTCCTACTCTTTATAGACATCTATTATGCCTCCCTAAACTTATAAGTTACTGGTATAATGTGGGCTTTCAGCACCAGAAACAAGGAATAAAGCAAGATATAGGAAAAAGATAGTGTCAATTGTCCCATGCATAAATAAGGAAGTTAAAAATAACCACCTTGGAAGGTTCTAAGTACTTACCACCTTAAGTACAGAGCTGAAGACAATTAAGTTGTTGATTCTCTTTTCTTTACCCCCAATCTAAGCATGTTATTTTCCCAAAGAGGGGAAGGGAAGTTAGTGAGTTTAGGAGTAGCTCAAACCATCTGGGGTAACAGAAATGACTGCCCTATCAGAGAGAATGAGGATACTACTCCTAGCCCAGGAGAACAAAGATCAGACTAATTGAAAGGGCAAGGAGTGCCTGAGGGGGAAACAACTAGAAGTGGAAGAACTGAGAGGAAAGGGTTCCACGCAGGGAATGAAGTAGCAGAGAAAATCATAGAACAGAGGAGAAGCTTTACCATGTTCTTTCCCCTTCCTGGTGCAGAATGCATACTGTTTTCCTGGGTTGGTGGGTGTACTTCTGAACCCAGGAGAAATTCACAAGACAGAAAACATACCGTAACTGAGCTGACATTGCTTTTTCTAATTAAAACCTTTTTGTACATAAGGAGAACTATGTAAATTCATTTCTCAAAATCTCCTGCAAATAAAGACTTCAGAAAGCTTTTCTAAGCTTTGACAGCATTTTTGTCCTTATCCCTAAATGACTCTATAAAAATGACAAAAAAAGGAGAGAGAAACTGAAAAAATTCTGATTCTCAACAAGTATTATGAAAACTTCTTTCATTCTCCCCCAAGTATAAATGTATAATCGTTTCCCCCTGACTATTAATAAAGAACTAAGAGCATCCTCCTGACAAGGGAGGCTAAGGTCTAGCCATTTAAGACAGTCTGATGAACTAAGGCAGCCAATAGGATGGTAAGGTCTGATCTGAGAGCCCAAGGGGCTGCTGGTCAATTCTGATTCCTAGAAACTCAAAAACAAACTTTGGACTCGATAGCTAAAAAATTTTCCTAAGTGAATCTTCTGGGAATTCCCATTGAAGCTAAATGACTCACAACTTATTTTTAGATCACCTTGTTAATATCATGAATTTAATTACTATATATAAAAAAACACATTACTTAGTTACTATATAAAAAACACACTATTATTACTCTATGGTCAACGATTATTTAAACTTACCCAATTTTTTGTTTTTTAAAGTTTTAATTTATTTATTATTATCATTAGCTTAATTTTTCTGATCTAGAACTGAAAAGCTTGACAGCAGAAACTAAGATTTCAATGGACAAGTTTGAAACAACTTATACAAAACTAAAGAGATTTTATTGACTCTAAAGTTAGAAAAAAATAAAAGTGTTCAATGACAAGCATTTTTTCTATCTTCTAAAGTATACTGCGTGCTGCCTGTTTAAAACACACATATGCACACACACATACAGAAGGCTATTAGAGTAAATTAAGGGTTAAGAGAAAACCACAAAATTATACCTTGACTTTTTGTTTTATAACATCAATTCCAAATATCCTATTTTACAAATACTGTTGAATAACTATCATAACTTAGTAAGTGAAATATGCAAAGGTCAAAGTTCTAAACCTAGGCAGCATGAGAGTAACTATGCTAGCTCCTTCAGACCTGATAGCTAGGACACCACTGCCTCCTTGTGGCACAACTCCAGAATTACAGGTTGTGACTTTCAGATTTCTTTATCAAGGATAGTCTTGACAGCCAATGTCACAGAAGCCATGGTTTGGGATGGAGAGAGCATTGTTATAGATCTCAGAAACATTGCAAAAGAGCAATTTTGGACAGTGGCATAACAACAGAGATTTATCCAAGTTTTTCTTTCAGGTCTGCCAGGTGTGGGGCAGAGAGGCTGAAGACAAGTTGAGAAATCAGAAAACCTGGAGAATACTAGGAGAACACTGAGAACACTGAGCAGCTCAAGTTTGCACAGACAATCTCACAACCACTGAGTTAGGTCTAGATAACAGGCAACTCTTTAGTGTGTTATGTTATGTAAAATTATAACATATATATAGTAGGTAATATATATATATATATTCAAAACCTGTCATTTACTGTCTATTTACTCTGTAAATTAGCCTTCTGCTACTCAGTTTCCTTATTTATAAATAGTGGAATTCATGGTAAGTACCTCCATAAATTTTTGCAATGGTTAAGTAAAATATTATTAAAAATAATAGCTAACACGACCAAGTCCTTATCATGTGCCAAATGTTTATTTTTAGCGCTTTACATTGATTCTCTTATTGTAACATTGATTGTCCTATTATCTTACATCTAACAACATTTATAAATCTAAATTTATAAAGCTCTTAAGTAATACTACATCTGCAGTTTGTACTCAATAAATG